TAAACTGAACAGCTTGTGGGGTCGTGAGTAAATCTAAATAACCTCTAAATTAAATAGATTCAAATGATGATGGTTTTTGAGGAGAGAGGAAAACCGGAGTACCCGGAAAAAAACCTCTCGGAGCAGAGTAGAGAACCAACAAACTCAATCCACTTATTAAGCCGGGTCCGGAAATCGAGCCCGGGAAACATTGGTGGAAGGCGAGCGCTCTCACCACTACGCCAACCCTGCTCCCCTAAGAGCTCCCGTTCCAAACCGCTGACTGTCACGGATTTCTGGCCAAGTCGACATTCATTTTAACAAACATTGTGGCTTCTTTGAATTGATGCAAAATTTCTAGGTTAATCTTCGCACTTACTAAGTATACGACTGTCCAACTTAAACCGACGAGAGTTCGTGAACTGTTAATTTAAAGGAAACTGTTTTCGATAACTTAAAGATCTCTGTGACTTTAACATGGAAAAGCTTATCATTTTAATGCAACTTGTATGATCAGATAAAGAAGAAATTTAGCGTGTTCACCTGTCTTTAAATTTCGATACTACGTGAGGCCGGGGTTTGTACAGCAAGGGATTAGAATATTTTGATGTAAAAAACATTTTTAAAATGGGGTTCTGCTAGAGCCGAGAAACTCAAGCTCCCTTTTTAACAAAAAAATTATCTTTTAAAATGAAACTCACCTCACTCAGCTAAGGGCGAAAGTCTGTTTCCCAGTGCATTTTACAACCGAATGTTTAGGAAAGTGAAAGTACCCTAGTTTGTCTTAACTTTGTAAACAACTTGCAGTGTTTGATAGCTGATTGTCTTAGCTTTTGTTTGCGTCAGTGATTATGCGAGCCTCCAACTGTGTCCGATGATAGAAGAAAAATTTAAATGGTCCCTCGACCACATGTTAACCAAAGGGCAAGAACATTAAGAACATCCAGCTTTGACGAATAAGTGAATTGACTTTCATTTCAATTTTTAATCAACTTGTTTAATGATCAACGGAAAGATATTATTGGAAATACCTTTGGTTGAATTTCTTTGCTTTTTCATCGCAAATGGACATGACAGATTATACAGTCGACACAATAGAATACGTATATTTACGAAGTTGATTGTGTTTTGAATGTATAATTAGTCAACTCGATGAGTTTAATAGAGTCTTCAACTATGAAAATGAAAATAAAACTTTGATTGAGTCTTATACGCTACTCTTAGTGGAATCTATGTTTTAAAATTATCATTAAAAAAGAAAATTAAAGAATGAATGAAGAAGAACTTATTGAGAAATTGAAGGTTATGCTGATAGTAGTGTGATTTTCTGGGAGAATCTAATAATCTTTCATTAGAATTCCGCTCCGCGGGACATTGCAACTGATGCCAATCACTTTCATGGACATTAGCTCTTTTCAGGACAATCCGAGGTATTGCTAGGCTGTTCCTTCTGGGTTAAAGCAGTTTCTACAAACATCTCCTCTTGTCGTGCAGCTGGAAGTTCAACAACAGCCAATATCATCGGCGGTATGCAACGAACAACCTAGAAAGCACGCATAAATGGCCATAAATATTACTTCTTTTGTCTCAGAATATTCACAGAGATTTCTAAATTAAGCAATTCCCTTTGAAAGTGATGCTCTATGGTAGAGTAACACGCGTGTTTTTTAGAACAGTGCCTCAAAATTTTGCAGTTTTGCTTCTTAACCAAATGTTGATATTTCTGACCATGTTCAAACCGCTCCCAGACATACCTTAATTGTCTCATGACCCCATTTAATGACTGTGCCACGAGCAGGGTAATTAGTGGTTGGCTTGAAAACTAAATTTAGACTTATCAGACTTATCAATATCTGATCATTCCTTCATAGTGAGCGTGGGAGCGGAACCATTCACCGCTCTTGCCAGAATAACTCAGATAGGTAACTGAAGTGCGTGAGTGTATGAAAGCGAGGCGGGGGGAGCACAGGAGAGTATGTCACTTCCCCCCTTTCTTGGCGAGGGTAATATAAGGAGCAATTTGTAAAAAAAAGATTGGAGAAAAGGGGTCTATTCCAGACAACCTGAAGCAGGATTCTGCCATCTCCTGTTGAAAATTCTGCTAATAGTTCTACGTACAATCAAAGAGCGAACAAATCACCTACACGACCTTAGTGTGTATTTAAATTTATTAGGAAAAGAAGTGAGTTGCTTTTCGGGCGCGATGAAGATGAGAAAGATATCTGACCTCCTTTTTTCTTCTGTTATTTTCGCACTTTTACTCACGCTCGTATTAAAGGTCGTATTTGCACTGAGTAACGTCACAGAATCTAACTTGGAGTATATTGAGTAACATAGACTTTAAAAATGAAAGTGAAATTAAATGATAATCTCGTGCTTATATTTTGTGGACTCATGCACTTACAAAGTTTTTTGGTTATCTGATATGTTTTTGAGATTTTGAGACAGGATTCGATGCTCACTAAAACGTCAAAAACCGCACCGCGGATCGTTTCCTCCCGTTCTTGGCTGTCCAAAGAACCCAAACATATCTAGAGATGTGTTAAATTGAAGAGCAAAAAATCAGGCCGTCAGAGGGGGAAATTGACTGTCAATTTATTATAAATGAGGAGATATAATAAAAACAGAGCCTGATGGGGTTGGGGGGTAAGGTGAAGAATACTTTAACCTCAAACCCCACTCCCCCCACCAAGACGATAAAGTAGTAGACCCCGTTACCTGATAGAATTTAGTCTTCTTTCTTTAGACCTTGATTTTACTCCTGAGTAAAGAACGGTTTGATTATTCGATTAGCAGAAATTCATACGACGTGTCTGTCAACCCCAGCTTTACCTCTGCACTTACATATACAGGTATAGATTATTTTTTCACATTTTAAATACATTTTATAATTTTTTTTTCGTCTAGTCTTTATATATATCTTTACTTAATATTATAACAATAACATAGTTCAGCCCTTCGGCTGCTAAGGTTTTGAATAAAGCCATCTATCTATCTATCCATCTATCTATCTATCTATCTATCTGTCTGTCTGTCTGTCTATCTATCTGTCTATCTATCTATCTATCTATCTATCTGTCTATCTATCTATCTATCTATCTATCTATCTATCTCTCTATCTATCTATCTATCTATCTATAGATCTATTAATGTATCTATCTATCTATCTATAGAGATATCTATCTATAGAGCTATCTATTTATCTATCCATGTATCTATCCATCTATCTATCTATCTATCTATATATATATATATATATATATGTATATATATATCTATAGATATATCTATCTCTCTACCTATCTATCTATCTATCTATCTATGGATCTATCTATCTATCTATCTATAGATCTATCTGTAGATCTATCTATCTATCTATCTATCTATAGATCTCTCTATCTATCTATCTATCTATCTATCTATCTATATCTCTCTATCTATATATATATATCTATCTATCTAGCTATCTTTCTATCTATATATCTATCTATCTATCTGTCTATCTATATATCTATCTCTCTATCTATCTATCTGTCTATCTATATATCTATCTGTCTATCTATCTATCTATCTATCTATCTGTTTGTCTATCTATCTATCTATCTATTTATCTATCCTCTAGTAATTTTTCTTCCGGTCCCTGTCTGCCAACCAATTACTATAACGCTACTTCAGAGAATTTATGGTGGATTAACTGATACTCCCTGGATTGATATTTCTACTTTTTCTTATCATTTGTCTGCTTAATATTTATATCGATATTGTAAGGAGGAAATGTGTCTTGGAGTCTTTGCTACTCATGAGAATTTAAGGGTTAATCTGTAGGATGAAACTGTTTAAAGCGCCGCTCTCACCCGCTGCCTCGCGCGAAGCAAAGAGCAAAGAGCCGCCCTCTTTGACGTCACTAGCTTTCTCTTCATAACTTTTCATAAATGCGGAGAAAACAGTTGTACATTTGAAATTTTATCTTTCTTTGATTATTAGGAAGAGGGACTTTGAAATGGGGTCTGGAGCTTCAAAGACTGGGAAGCCAAACGATGAGAACACTGATGGACAAAAGATGGTGTTACAAATCATAAACAAGCGCGCAAAAGACGATAGGTCGAAGCTAAGCCATCTCCTAGCGTGGAGCTGGAGGTTGATATTCTCTACATGGCCTTTCCCGATATCAATGTTATATTCACCTGTCGTGAGCGGGGCTCTACAAAGGGAGGTCACTCTTTTTTCAATAGAAAGCTGGCTATGAATCTAGCGAAGATACCAAGCGACAGAATCAAGGTTCACTGCTACGTATCTGAAAGCAGTGAGGCGGACAGGCGCGATGCATGCAGTAAAGGATTGAATCTCATAACTGCTGAACGCTCTCCGGGATCTCGTGGTCCTTTGGACTGGCTAAAAAGTCCGCCGCCAGATCTAAACCTAGATATCGTCGTAGCTCACGGCAGAAAATTTGGCAGTGCCGCTTATTTCATCTAAAGGATCACAAACTGCCGTTGGATACAATTCGTGCATGTCCATTACAAAGAGAATACAAATTAGAATCCGGCTTCACGGGAGATGAAATTGCAGATAACGTAGAGAAGAATCGACGAGAACTAGAGCTCTGCAAAGCATCGAATTTAGTTGTTGCAGTTGGCTCTCTATTACAAAGAAAATATCAAAGAAGCTTGCCAGGTATCAAGGTAGAAGTTTTTACTCCAGGGATTTCCGAAGAGTATACTAATCCGACTGCAACGCAATCCGAGCGTAAATTAACAGAGGAAGAGTTTAGCATCTTTATTTTCGGTCGTCGAAGCTTTGAGGACTTTGCTCTTAAAGGGTATGACATCATTGGAAGGGCTGTGGCTTGACTGGAAAGAAATTTCGAGCTCAGATTAGTCGGTGCAGCACAAGATGAACAACGGAAGATAGAAAAGTGGCTCCTAGAGGAAACGAAAATCTCGCGCAACCAGTTAACCATTCGTAGATTCTGCAATGATGAAGAAATGAAGAGGATGTTATGTGAAGCGGACTTAGTAGTCATGCCATCCCGCACGGAGGATTTTGGTCTGGTTGCGCTGGAGACTATATCAACTGGTGTGCCTGTTCTTGTCTCCAGTGAAATTGGAATAGCCAAAGCCCTCCTAGATTTGGAAGATGGTAAGTCTGTGGTTGTTAAATCAGAGAAATCAGAGGAGTGGGCCAACAGAATCCGTCGGTTGTCAGAAAAGACACTAGAAGACAGACCTACCACTGCCCTGCCGCTAAGAGATCAATATAACAAGAGGTATTCGTGGGAGAAAGAGTGCAAGAGATTGGAGATGATCCTAGAATTGGTGGAAAGCGCTCAAAATGAACTTTCTTAAATGTTTGTTTGACAGGTATATTTTTAAAGACTGCTCCATTCTGACCTGTTTTAATTTTTCTTTTTCTTTATTTGTGGTCTGAATTGACGTAATTTTTTTCTGAAGTTGATTTGGCGTACTTTACCTCAAAATTCCTCTACATTATGTAAATTACCTCCTAAATGAGGAGTTTTTGAGTGGGTTCGGATGATTTAAGTGGATACTTAAGTTGCTCAGACTCCCCTGACGAAAGATCAAGATTCCCTTGACTGGAATCTATTTGTGTACATTAATTGGATAATTGGAGCTCAAGGCTCCTCAATATAACCGCAGAACAAACATTTGTAAAAGCTAAGAAAGCACCAAGAAAAGCATCAGGTATGTATAATAGACTGAAAATATTTATATCTGTCTGCAACATTTATGACATAAAATGTAAATACATTACTTTTGTATTTCATCCTGTGTAGACACTTCTGATAAGACAGCAAAGCATACATGTACAAAAGAAAGAAAGCCACCCGGGCAGGGGGCAGGTATCTATGTTAAACTCATTTTGTAGAATGCCAAAAAAGGAACTTTTACTTCAATTATGGGAAGAAATTTTATCCTCTATACTAAGATGAGGGTAGTTAATAACTCTGTGCACAGATGGAGCCAGCCTTTTCTTTAGTTTGCATACTGTCAACAGCTGCCTCTACGGCTTTCAGAAGAATTTTATAATATGAAAGTTCCTAGCTGTTTTAAAATCTAATTAAGAACTATTCCGGTTAACATAGCACAGCCAGTAACATACAGTTTGCATAAATTGACTAAAGTTCCTTGAGGTAACAAATTTCTTTCAAACCCAACATGAGCTTGGTGTTCAATTTCATTAAATAGATGGCTAACATAAAATTGCTATATGTTAGGAGGTGGATTTATGAATTTATAAAAAAATGTGATAAATCAGTTTTCTGCGTAGATCAAGACACTTCAAATGAAAGAAGAGACAATGTAAAGAGAGGAAAGGAAAAAGACCAATCAGCAGGTATTTATATTAATTGCCTTTCAAAATTGTATCAAGTTACATTTGAATCAGTAACCTTGATTGCTTATACTGTCATCCTACAGTTAAAAAAGCCAGCTTTTCCTTCATTAGGTGTTTGCAGTCCACTGCTGCTTTATGCTTTCTACAGCTACTATCACAAATGAGGGAAAGGAAAATTATAAGCTGTTTCTGGTTTATGTCCTGGTTTGGGTCTCATGTATACAAAGTACCATATGACGAACACTTCCGCTCAAAGCCAACAAAACCGGTTGGATGAAAAACTCCTTACATTGAAGTGTAAATAAAAAAGCAGCCTTTTCATTTCCACTGACCTCTTAAACCATTATAGGACTTAGAGCAGGTAATTAATATGCTCGGGTGTTAATTTCTTTACAGATCCGGAGACTTCAAATGAAACAAGAGAACAAAGACAGGGAAACATGGAAGAGGTGCAAACAGGAGGTGTGCTACATTTTCTTACTCTATTAAAAAAAAACCAAAGAACAGAAAAAACATCTTTAACGAATTTTGTCAATGATAGCTGTGACCCAATTTTTTTTTAAATCTGAGCAGAAGTTATCCTCGATCAGAAACAAATCACTTGACTTACGATAACTTCCCCATCGCTAACAACGTACACATTTAACAACATTGAGTGGTTCCACCTGGACAATCCGACTATTTCACCGTCAAAAATCATGTCATTCAATTTGGTTGTCATGAATTAAGAAGGTCAAGAGAGTATATGTCTCTGAAGTACAAGACTCGTTGTAGTCTTGTCCGTAGTAGCAAAGGGTATGATTCTTGACCAGTTATAAAAGTGAGGTTGGAGTCTGGGATTCTACATAATTTTTTCAGATCCATCGACCTTTTCTGGCTATTCACTATTGTTTGTTCATTTAAAGCCAACAATTTCGGTTTAAAAAGGAGGAATCAATGACTTCTTTTTGTATAAAATAATTCAAGTGTTTCAAAAGGCAATTACCACAGTCATCACACTCTATAAAAAAGCAGAGGCACCCCTCTTAATATATATTTCATATTACAGTACTATACTAGGTACTATACAGAGTTTATATGTGCCTTTCCTTTACTTTTAATGTAATAACCAAGTTTAGGTTCGTACAGACTTTCGGCAAAGAGGATGTGTATGAAAGGAGATCCTAACCATAGGAATAAATCCAGAGATAAGTAAATCATTTTCAAAAAAGCTATCCTGGCGATCATATTTTTAGTATTTAATGATATGTCGCTTCCAATTGTAGACCACTTAGAACTTTTATGATCGACAACTCGCCAAATTTGAGCACACGTTACTTAGACAACTGAGAAAATTGGAAAGCAGTTAGTTGTTTTGAGCAGGCTATAGAACATGCTATCGATTTCATAAAAAATGTCATTGTACAACTCGAACATAAAGACATGTTATTCACCAGCCGAGAAGGTCTGTATTGGGAAAAACTGTGCCCGAGGTCTTGGATACCGCCCGAACCCGTTGGCCAAGGGCGGTACTCAAGACAGAGGGCACAGTTTTTCCTAATATGGACCGACCTAGGCCGGTGAATAACATTTGTATTTTTTTCTAAAATTGAACGAAATGCTTTCCAAAAGTACCCTCCCGATTTAAGGCTGTACTTAGGACGAGATATTCCATAAACAAAACAATTTTCGAGGGAGTAGATGGTTAAGAAAACAGCGGGAAAACAAATTTAAATAAGAGACTTCGCCGAAACATTTTTATCTACGTACTGATAAGGGTGATTTAAAAGGCTTCCGAGCAAACTTCGAAGAATTTTTTATAAGTATCTTTACTACATCGCTCAAAGCGCCCGTGGGCAGCCCGATGGGCCCATCTTGCCCGCTCGGGATTGCTCACACTGATCCCGCGCATAAAAAAAATAGAATTAGAACTATGTTCGTAACTCTTGGACAATTTCAGCGATTGAAACGCAAAAAGTGGCAGAAGATAGACAGAAACGATTCTCGTGTGTTTGTTGTGGAACAAACAGAGTTGGCTTTCTTTCCACGCTCTCTAAGTAAACAAGTCACTCCTAATCCTCATTACCCGAATTTTTTTCTGCGATATGACAAATCCTTTATCAACTGAGGCGTGTGTAGTCCAGTGGTCAGTGCGCTGGACTTTGGGTCAGATGGCCCGGGTTCAAGTCCTGGCTGGGGCTTGACGTTGTGTCCTTAAGCAAGACGCTTCACTCACATTGCTTCGTCTTCTCGGATAGGACTTAAAGCCGGAGGTCCCGTCTCCTACAGCTATCAGTTAGTTAATTTAGGCAGGGGACGTCAAAGAACTCACATCAAGAGATTACTGTGATGTCGTCTGGCCTGTTTACCGGGAATTGTCTGGGGAGAGGGGGCATCTTTAACTTCATTTGATTCGTTGTAAACTGCTACTAGCAGGCTGTTGTAAGAATGGCCCTGAAAAGCCCTATGGGGAGTGATCATCTAAGCAATCCATCCATCCATCCATCCATCCAACTAAGCTTGCTTGGTTAAGATGGCTAGATATTAGCCTTGAATGGGACTTTAGGCTCTGCTCTGCAACTCCGTAAATAATACAACAAATATGTTTAACCTTCAGATAGTGTGGTTTGCTTTATTGTTGTTCTCTGATAACGATTTCAGGCCATTTCGTCGAGTATTAGCCTTAAACGAGCAGTGGTGGGATGAGAGCTCAGCTGACTCGAGGAAATGGGTTGAAATCGCTACCAGTGAACAAAATAGAGCGGTGCCTAAACTCCCATACAAAACTTCCTAATATTATCCTCTCATAGAGAGTTTGGGCCTTCTGTACTTCTACTGAGTTGATGAAACTATAAAAGTAGTTCCTCATATTATAGCTACTGAAATATTCCTACAATTCTCTCATCTCACCTCCCATAGGCGTCGTTTGTCCCTTTTTTAAATTTTTTAACAACTCTATCGTAGGGGCAACTGCGAACCAAAAGAAGAAGGCAATTGTTGATCAGCTTCGCTTTGCGGAAAGAAAAGTAGATGTCTCTGAAATTGAATCCCTACCCTCTCATGGAATTTGTGTTGACTCAAAAAATATTTTTGACGAGACGCCACTAATGTATGCTCCTAAACATGGTAAGGTAGAGGCGGTGCAGTGTCTGATCATCAAAGGAGCTGATCCGAATTCACGAGACGACAGAGGACGGAATTCATTATATTGGGCCTCATGTGGAGGTGGCGTTGGTGTCATTGAGCTGCTGGTCAGTGACTTGACTGATACTGAGCCAAGAGGTACCTCGGGTGAGACGCCGTTAATGATAGCTGCTGAAATGGGTCAGGTAGAGGCGGTACAGTATCTGATCAGTAAAGGAGCTGATCCAGCTTCATCAGACAACTTCGGATGGAATTCCTTACATTGGGCCTCACAATGTAGTCACGTTGATGTCATTGAGCTGCTGGTCAGTCACATGACTGATATTGTGTTACGAGATACCTTTGGTGAGACGCCACTAATGGTAGCTGCTAAGGAAGGTAAGGTAGAGGCGGTGCAGTGTCTGATCAGTTAAGGAGCTGATCCAAGTTCACGAGACAGAAGTGGACGGAATTCGTTACATTTGGCTTCATGTGATGATCACGTTGATGTCATTGAGCTGCTGGTTAATCATATGAGTAGTATTGACTCAAGAGGTTTCTTGGGTAAGACACCGCTAATGGTTGCTACTAAGGAAGGTAAGGAAAAGGTGGTGCAGTTTCTGATCAGTAAAGGAGCTGATCTGGCTTCATCAGACGACTCCAGATGGAAATTGTTATTTTGACCCGCACATGGTGGTCATTTTAATGTCATTGAGCTGCTGGTCAGTCACATGACTGATGTTGAGGCAAGAGGTGCCTTGGGTGAGACGCCGTTAATGGTAGCTCCTCGTATCGGTCAGCTAATGGCGGTACAGTATCTGATCAGTAAAGGAGCTGATCTGGCTTCAACAGACGACTCCGGATGGAATTTCGTTACATTGGGCCTCACGGGGGGATCACGTTGATGTTATTGAGCTACTGGTGGGTCACCTGACTGATACTGAGCTAAGAAATGGCTTAGGTGAGACGCCGCTAATGGTAACTGCTAAGGAAGGTAAGGTAAAGGCGGTGCAGTGTCTGATAAGTAAGGGAGCTAATCCAGCGTTACGAGACAAAAGTGGACGGAATTCATTACATTTGGCCTCATATATGATGATCACATTGATGTCATTGAGCTGCTGGTCAGTCACATGAGTGACATTGGCTCAAGAGGTTTCTTGGGTGAGACACCGCTAAAGGTGGTTGCTAAGGAGGGTAAGGTAGAGGTGGTACAGTGTCTGATCAGTAAAGGAGCTAATCCGGCTTCATCAGACGACTCCGGACGGAATTCGTTACATTGGGCCACGGTCAAAGGCAACAAAGACATTATTGACATATTACTTTATTATGAAGTTGATATTGAGTCCAAAACTGAAGATGGTTTGAATGATGGCATAACGCCATGGACTTGAAGAGACAGTGAGATATCTTCTTAGCAAAGGAGCCGAGTATCCAAGTCTGAATAAAAAAGAATCAGACAAGTTTTCCTTTACGCATGCTCAGTGAAGTTAGAGCTTCTCGAGTTGTCTTACCGTGTTTTAAATGCCGATCGCGAATAGTTAAAATATGTGACCTTGTACCTAGGGTTTTCCCTCTTTATGAATTGGGGAAAAGCTCTGGGAAGGACTTAAATGATTATTTTGATGCAAACCTTATGTTGGCAAAGTTTCCTAAGGTAATATAAAATGATAGGCTCTGTCGAGTGTGTATAAAGTGATAGGTAGTTTTACATTCCTTACTGTGTGGAGAAGACAAATTATATGGTAATTTATTTTCTAAGAGTATATACTACTTAGTATATACTAAGACATTTTTTTGTTAGTAGAGGAAAGAAGATGTAATTATTTTTGTGGGTATTTGCATGAATTAGTTCACGTTTAAAAAAGTCAGCAAAAAGTAGTTTCATCTAGAAACAAACTGAGGGTCTTCACATGTTGTATTTTGGACAGTTTTTATTCATTCCATTTTGAAATATTTTGTAAATAACTTTTGAACATGTGATGAGAGGTTAGCTTAACTCATTGATTGTAAGCAAAATTATCATAGTATTCCCAAACTCAGTATCTTTATGTAGAATTTAAAAATTGTGTTTATTGTTTTTGGGACTCAAGTTAAACTTACCTGAACTAAGCAACCACACATTGAAGGCGCTGTATTTCAAAGCTGTATTTTGTGTGATTAAGCTTTAGGAGGTCAAGTTTAGCATGTGAAAATTGCAGAACATAATGACTGTGATACAGTTATACCTGCATGACTTCAGTTTTGTATTGAAAGAACGATCTTTGTGACTTTCCCGTGGTGAAATATTTTAGAATAAATTTGCTGTAAGGAAAGTTTGGTCTGTAGAATCACGGGGTCTATGAACCATTTACGTCTTGTAGCTACGGACAGGTGGTTGAGTAGTATTTCATATCATTTATGATCTACCACACCCGCTTCTCGGAGTTGAGAATAACAGCCTGTATTACCACAGGACTTTAGACAGCGAGTTTTTTTTTCTCGAAATTTCTGATATATATTATATATGATTATACTTTAATATAATTACATTTTTTTGTTGAGTATAACAGCCTGTATTACCACAGGACTTTAGACAGCGAGTTTTGTTTCTCGAAATTTCTGATACACTGCACTTTAATATAATTACATTTTTTTGTTAGTAGAGGAAAGTAGATGTAGTTATTTATGATGCAATTTATTTATGATGTACCACACCCGCTTCTCGGAGTTGAGAATATCAGCCTATATTACCACAGGACTTTAGACAGCGAGTTTTGTTTCTCGAGATTTTGTGAAGCTTTTCCGCGCAACAGTTTTCTCTTCCACCGGCGCGCTTTCATTGAAACGCTTAGCGACGAGAGAAAATCTGCCTTGATAGCCTTGTGGGATGAATATAGGACACAACCAGCTTTGAGGATGTGCGCAACTACTCTGTCCTCTAAACAAGCGCTGCCAGGTTGCGAACAACACCGATCTTCACGTTTTCTGCAAAAGAAGGAGGAAAAAGCTTGCGGGCTAGGTGACCAGGCTTGGAGATTTTGACATGTGCAGGGAGTGTAAATTTTCTATGAACCCTCCCTCTTGAGAGAACAAGTCAAGTCCAGTTACGAAAGTTCACGAACTTTTGCTGTTGATGTAGGGGTCAGCAACAGAACAGTTTTGTAAGACAGCTGCTTTAACGTCAGATCCTCTAGCGACTCAAAAGACTCGAAGAATGACAACGCTGCTTTTTAAATTCCATGTAGAACAACATTTGGGCTTGGAAGGTTTACTTTTAAAAACACCCTTCATAAACCGAGCCACAGTAAGCATACTTCCTGATTCGATAGGGCCAATTGGAGCGGGAAACTGGGACCGAAGCAAACTTTACTTACATTATTATTGTTAAACTATGACCCAGTCAAGCACGAGTTTTCAACTATATTGCTTATATGCCACATTTGAATCAAAGGAAGAGACAATATTTCTTAATTTCATCACCGTCAAAATTCTCGTCTCCATGACTCCATCGGCCTTAGCTGAAGTGTTGGTACCTTCATGATAGGTAGTCAGCGGCTTCAGTGACCACAATTGAGAGCGAGGTCAGTCAATTGGTAGGCGACGTGGAAACAAGGTTAAATAACATTCAATCGCCCTGCCGAGGCTCACGATGTAAGATAACTATTTCATTACTAGCCGAGTTGATTTTTGATCATTATTAGTTCTTTATAATTTCTTGACGGTATTCATCTGTTAGTCATCGCCTTTCTGAGCCTTTTAATAAGATGCGAAACCCTTAGACTAATTCAGGATCTGAGCAAAACTTTATGACTTCGTTTCACACTTCCGTCAATCATGATTGAAACAGACAAGTTAACCCTTGGACTGGCAGAAGTAATCAACATTTGCCTTCTCCCCAGAATATTTATAAATTTTCCAGTAAACGGGTAATGAGAATACTTAAACTTATCAGGTAGAAGTTGCTATGTAACACTGAATTCCTGTAGCTAATTTGCAAGGAAATGTGTAGACAAACCTGGGGGGAAGGGAGGGGGAGATTAACAATCAGATACTGGGTGTTGAAGGTTTAAGGCTTAAACAAAATGATTCGCAATTGTTTCTCGAGAGGTGCATAACATGATTAGCTGCAGCGGAAAACGAATTTTCATTATATCCAGGTTCGAATGTCATTAGAAAGTTAAAGAAAGTCGGTTGTAAAATCTTATCCGGAGTTCTGTGTCTTAAAAATTAGATTTATCACACATCTCACTGAGGTGAATCTCATCAACAGTCCTTGGACATATCATCCTCGGCCACGCAATGAAACACGCAACACGCAATTCTCACGGACGTGAGCGTGGCTTCGGAGCAAAGCGATTTACATTTACACAACTGATTCTGACAATCCATGATTTGGCCAAGACTATCCGAAAAAAACAGCTCTGTCCATGTTGCAGTTTTGAACTTTAGTAAAACCTTTGATAAGGTTCCCCACAAACGCCTCATCACCAAGCTACAGTGCCATGGCAGTCGTGGACCCCCGCTTACTTGGTTTGAATCATTCTTAACAAACCGCTCGCAGACAGGGGTGTGTGATGGCAAGAGCTCCCGCCCTACCCAAGTAACATCCGGAGGGAGAGGGTAAGTCGGGCTAGTCCGTATCAGAAAAGTCTTATCCATTTTTTTGAAAGTGATTTCATCAACTTTCCTTGTCGTAAAGGCTCTGCACGTTGAAAATTAGAAGATCGATGACGGTTAATTTGAAGAACGAGAAAAATCACACCATTGAAAAGTATTTAATCTCATGGAGGATATAGAGACAGAATAGAAGCGCTTACTGGAAAATGAACGCGTATTGGAATTAATGTGTTTCTTAATTGGGGCTCTTATCTAGAAAAACAAAATTCGAGGCGAGTGCTCATCGTAGGGAGCGCTAATTGGAACGAGGGCGGTAAATGGAATTATTAGGGTGTATAAAAAAGTCTGATTATTCTCAGCCATCTTATATCTGTATTCCTTGCCTAAGGTTTTGAATGAACAATTGTTACTTTTTATGGTCACTTGAATTAGTTTAATTTTTTACCATTTTTAAAACCCTTCAAGGTGATTTCATATCTAAGAGAGGGTCACCAGTCTATGGTTGCGATGCGTTTTAAGAGCATAGCGGGATTTTTTTATAAAGTGACTTGCAACAGGTTTTTGTCACAATAAACCTCCTCAGGCGCACGTGTCACGTAAGCAACAGTTTTCTGTGGTAAAAAGCTGCGAATGCATAGAAATACGCGAAATACCAACGAAGATCGGACTACGTGGTGGATTCGTGGGGCAGTTCACGATATTTCCGAAGAATTAGAGCCCAATCCTTTGACAGCCGCTTGGTCACTTGTCACTGAGCTATTCCTAAGAGCATAATTAGATACCATCATCTCGAATGGTTGTTTTTACTTTATATTTGCTGTTTGTTTTCTGGCAAAGAGAACTGGTGATCATGTGATATCAGAAGTATCTGACGACCGCCATAGACTGTAATAGTCCACCTTGGAAGCCAATCAAGTGGCGAAGTTAAGCAAAGCCAAAGCTCTCTGAGTTTACTCTCGAAATCCGCTTTGGATTATTCCATACCAGGGCTTACTCCTCCCGTTGTGCGGAACAAGGGTAATATGGCTCTGGGAACTAGAATGAAACTAATAAGAACAGAATGAGTATAGGTGCTCGGCAATCCTTATTTTTTCTTATTTACTAGCTGATTTTACTGAATTTATCCTATTAAAAATGTATTGCTCGATCCTTACTGTCACTCATGCTCTTGACGATCTCATAACTTCACCCCCCAAAACTTTTGGAACTTATTTCTTTCAATGGCTCAGTTTTGAAGATATTCCAGGTTACTGCGGTGAGATTCGTACAGTTTCTCTTATGTTTACAAATCCCTCGAGGATAGTATGACTTTGGCCGTGAATAAATGCGAGTTTTCTTTCAGCAGCTGTCAAATTGTTCGTATCTTTCAGTTGCCGAATCATAAAGACGGTGGTGATGTCTTCGCAGTTGACGGGCTTACGATTTTTTACCGCAACAGTCGCGATTATGATCATGCAAGGTACCGCAGCAAAGATTCTAAGGATAGGTGTAACCATATAAAATGCTGCAATCACCAAAAATGAGGTGCTTGCTACAAGGCCAACTCTCCAAGAAAAAAACATAAACAACGCAATGATGCTAAAAAGAGAAACGAAATGAACCAGTTTTGTCCATTATTAAAATTGTTATACAGAAAGTATAAAACAAAACAAGAATAATGTGTCACTTTTAAACGGTTACCCTTTCCAGTTCAAGCCCAGGAGGACACCTCAGCCACAAGAACATCATGCGCCTTCTCTCTCATGATGCGGTGAACACAAAAATGGTCTTTAGCTTCCATATATGGCCTTTCTCTTCCTCGACCGGCACAGAAGTAGACATAACCTTTGAACCGTATTGTTCGCATGTTGGTACCTTGTGCGCGCTCATCAATTCGTGGAACTGTTCCTCCAACAAACCAAAGGCCCCATAGTACGAGAGAGATAACTTTCGTGGATGAAACTGTATCTGACTAAGACTCTTAACGGTAGTTGTCAAAATCCCTAACTGCACGCTGGTTATTGAAGCTTTCTTGCAATTGCTCCGGCTGGCTGGAATTAGTATTGTAGCTCTCCATAATCTACGCATAGGGAAAATAGAAAGTGATCTTGAGAGGTATTAAAACTCACAAATTGTAGTTTGATTAAAACTCCACTTGAGGTGAAAGAGGGTAAGTTGCTAAAGAAACTGTGGTGCTGTGTCGGTGGGGAAATATAACAAGAAAACTGTGGTTTTATGAACTGATTAGCATGATAATGTTATTTAGCCACCGTAAAGAGTTTGTAAGCTGACGTTGCAAGCGTTAGTCCTTCGTCAGAGTGGAGCAATGACGCTCAACCAGTGTGCTTTACCGTTGCCGGTTTTTATTATCCGTGATTGCAAATGTTTGTTACAAACCCACGAAAAGGCAATGGCCGCAGCTTTTGCCAATATTTTCATGCCAAAAACAGCTGAGAAACTTGAGCATTATTAATAGTCATGTTCTCGAAATTTACTACCCATTCCGGGAAAACCTAAACAAGAATTTGAATAATAAATAATCACTTTTTGATTGCAGAATAATCTACGGAACGTTAACTCTAACTTATTTGATTTGTCTTTCTCACAGGCTTAATTTCTATCCTGTATCCGCTCCGTTGTCCAGAGAAAGATATTTGAATCCGAATCAGTTACTACAAATGCGACTATAAGAGGATTTGTGCAATGCGCAAGCGAATCACGGTTCATCTGTGAGCACACAAAATCTACGTATATTTGCATTATCACACTTCACTTTTACGTTTCAACTCTCTATACTTGTCCTAAGTAGTAAATGGGCCGTACAAACTAGCCAAAGGAAAGGTAAGGGCGTTATGAAGCCGAAGATGATAACATTCTTCCCAAATTTGGCATGCAATATGATTGAAAATTTGGGAAATTGTTGGTTGACGTTTAGGCAAGTCACTACTGGTATGTCGGGGTATGAATCCTCGCTTGCGACACAGATATAAATATTTTGAAACTCTTTAATCAGCCCAAACCACACCATGTTTTGAGACCGGTGAATTGTTGCATCACGGCTATATTGTCTCTTCCCTTGGCGTTGAAACAAAGTTCCTTCTTTTACTTTGGAAAAAAAATGGGACTTTACCTTTTATAGTGTGTTCTGTTAGCTCTTTGAAGGACTTTTCAGAAAGACAGCAAAATACGGTACTATTTACTTATCAAGCGGTACCTGAGTCTTCTGCTGTGAAATCGTGACGAGATTCCAGACGGGAACAGAATAATTTCTGAGAAAAGAAACAGATCTGCAGGGCTGTGGAACAGGCCTTGCCCATACACAACTATTTCGAGAGATGTTATCGGAAAAAAGGACAAAAGTGTGTTTCTGGTAATCAATTTCAACATTTTAATGGGGCAAAACTCGCAAAAATACTCAGCGATACTACACAACAAAACATCTGAGAAGATATATATATTTCTCAATTTCCGACGCCAAAATTCATAATCTCTCGTATCTCGTTTACTACCGCGGAGCTTTCATAATTTCGATCTTAGTATTATGTATCAGATATATGAACTTGGTGATAACATATCTCTCCATTAATTCTTTGTGGCCGAGTGGTATAACATCAGAGCGCGGAATTATAATGGTGACGTTTCTTTAAAGGGAAATTGTTTGTGTCGCGGCTGTGGAACGCACAAGGTTACAACTCACTCTTTATTTCTAGACTTTGGTTCTGGGAACACGCTTTGTTGAATTAACTATTGAACAGCGACATTCTGTACCATGTTCAAAATTTGGGCTGACCCCGAAAATAATATCCTGTTAGGTAGGGCGTGATTATGGGAATGCTCTTCTCTTATTCAGGGAAATGTTTTTGTTTCCGGCTGTATTTGTAAAGTCATGATTTGTTCTTATACAGCTTTCCATTGATGTAACGCTTCATCCGGGTGTATCGCAGTGGTTATATCGCGATTAAAGCATTCTATTAAATTAATTGGTTCAACTGTAATGACCTCTTCCATTGTAAGACCGTCATTTTCAATCCCAATGGTCGTTTCGTTCCTAAGTCTAACGAGATCCTCAATGCATGTGTCAAATCCCATGTTATGCGTGAATTCATTGCAAAATATTCCAGTGGAGTTGAACATTCTGAAGACTTTTTTCCATAGTTCAAGCTCTGGGTACAGTTTAATGACTCTTCCTGTGGTGAGGTGGTTGTTCTTGCTCCAGTGAGGCCGGCCATTATACTTATAGTAGAGTTTGTCCTCCACGGTCTTATGGTATTCCTCGATCCCAAATGCACCCGGTAAAAATGGAACCTGTGCAGTGAAAGAAGTCAAACATCATTGTGAGGAAGGTAGTTTGGCCGAGTGGTTAGGAAAGCTGGGGGCAAGAGGAGGGGATGGGGTTGCGGGCGTCAGTCTGGATCCCAAACCCCCCGACCCCGACCCCACCACATGTCAAGTAACTGACACCGCCTCTGGAAAGGCACTGTTGGCATTGTAAAATATATATGAAGCGATAAAAAATAGTTGCAGTTCCACTGAGTCGTTACCTACCTCAATGTAACAGGCGTGGTCGTGTTGTTCCCCTTGCGGGCATTTCCTGTTGGCTGGACTCAGATATAAATCGTCTGTCTTTACTATTCGCACGTAGATGGGAAGCAATGAATACTGGGAAAACTTATCGGCGTACTGATTGGCTGCTTCGATGACGTCTCCCAATGCCTCGTCTAACTGGGACAGCGGAAGACAAAATTCAGCTGTGCGTACGCTGAAAGGGTGAAACGTAAACGGCATTAGGTATATCAAGGTGGTGGGTAATTTCAGGGTTTTGTTTTTCATGTAGAGAAATGATCCTTGTGTGTGAGCTTTAGTGAAAGAAACCGTCAAGATTTTGACGAGATTGAAACCGTGCCCGGTGCCTCCCAGACAACAAAGCTACATGTTGGTACCAATCCAAGCAGATTATTTCTTACCGTGCAGGAGTCTGGTCACAATTAAATGAGATTTGAATCATATCGAAGCTTTCGAAATTTTTTCTTTCAGGCTTCAACTCACCTGCAAATATCATATCTGTACTTGAGTTATAAACGGCCGGTCAGCACATGCTTTATCTCTTTTAGTCTAATTATTTCCATCAACTCTATAGACACGATCCTAGGAAAGGGTCACTGGTAATCATCTGGGGGAGGGGAGGGGGGAGGAGGAGGAGGAGGAGGAGGAGGAGGAGGATTTTGGTTATGTCATGATAGAATCTAGCTGATCCCCAGTTAGGGCTTCTTGATATGGGCCTGGTTGACCAGACTGGCCCGGTTTCCGAGATCTCACCTTACTTCTAAAGGGATTTAGAGGTAAGGCGAGAGCTCGGAAACCGAGCCAGTCCGGTCAACCGGACCGTATGAAG